ACCGGTACCCGCGTGTGTTATCTCACATGAACACACACCTGGGTTTATCCTGGTGCAATTAGAGGACATTAAAAGTGTAATTTTAATGGAGGAATGGTGATCTGGATGCAGTTCAGAGTAAAAACTTTCTTTTAAGTGTGGCTGTTTGATTGTAGGTGTTCCTGCCGCGCACGCATGTGTGCCCGGATCGGGAGGTGTGACTGCGGGTTGATGAACGCTCTATCTCGTGGTGTGTGCAAGGGCTTGTCTCGACTTTAAAGCCTTTGTGAGCAGGGCTAAGGCAGCAAAGCCTCCAGTCAAGACCCGGCTTGTTCCAGGTGAGCCCCTTTTCCTACTCAGGCAAACTATGGCAGCGGATGAAGCTGCAGGAAGCCAGGAGGGCTCTGCCAGCTGGGCTCAGCACCCAGCATCTGACTGGAGTCCAAGCACCTCCACCCACATCCGTGGCCAGTCTTATAAAAGACGTGTCTTTGCAGCCCCAGGTGCTTTACAGGATGACTTCATTTATTACCTTGCTCATCACAGGAAATGATGTTTATCTAATCTACCACTCTTTCAGGGCTTTTTTTCTGCCACATGTGGCTTCATGCAGTGTTTGTTACAGCTCCCTTCCTCCCTGCACCAAAACAAAGGAGGAATGGCACTGCCGCCACCAGGCCAGAGCCCTGGCCCCACCAGCAGCCCTGTACCCAGAGCCCATGGGGAGGTTTTGCTTCGAAACCTGGAGCTCGCGTGCGGTGGCGAATGGATCTGAGGATCTTGGTCTTAATCTGCTTCCTCTGCTGCATTCTTTAGTAGTGACAGCTCCTCCTTGCAATATTTCTAAATGCGGGCTCGGAGCACTCTGAGGCACAGCTTTCCATCTGTCTGTCCAGCATCCAGCCAAACAGGTCCACATTCCTGAGCAGAAACGCTAGCGCTGCCACCCTGGAGCCTCGGATGGAAACTCAAAGCAAGTCACAAACACGAGGGAGAGAGCAGCGGCCAAATCCTGCTGCCTCAGCGCCAAGCCGAGAGAGTTCAGTCCCCACCAGCTACGCAGTGCCCATGGGCTGTGCGTGCCTGGGTGCCAAGCGTGAGCCCACGCTGGTTACACCCTACTCCAGCTGTACTCCAGGTTGTAAAATGCTCCAGCCAAAACCCTTGCCCGCAAGCAGGGCGCGCAGGCCCCTGCGGCTCTCCCCGCTGCTCGCAGGGCCCTGACCTGTCGCTGGCAGCACCCAGGGCTGCTCCTGCACCCAGTGTGCCCCGAGGTGCCAGGGAAAGCAATTCATATTTTCCTCTGTCGTAAAAAGCCTCTATCAGGAGCCTTCCGCTGATCCCGAAAGGATGGCAAAAAAGGATTGGCAAAGCAATAAAACCCCTCCTTATTTTACGACCGAGCAGCAGGATTTTTTGCTACTGAGTGTGCGGGTTTAACGCTTGATTTCAGAAACAGAAACTCGCCCTCTCCTCACCCAGCTGAGGGAAGGACCCACACGAGGAGCAGCGGCTGCTCAGGGCTCGCTGGGGCTCCAGCCATTCGGGGGTTTCATGTCTGGATAAGCGTTAACACCAGGGCAGCAGGTGAGCAGAGTGGAAAATGCCCATAGGTGCAGTAGCGGAAAGCAGCCAGAGCTGAACTGAACTTTTGTAGTGTTCATTTTACTGCTTTCAAGTCAAACGTCTTCCTAATAGAAATGCTTGAGAAAAATCCCGAACAAACTAAAAACACATAAAAATCGTTCTGAAATATTTTGGGAACGGAGGGAGAATGAACAAATGTGTTAGAAAATTCCTGAGAGCTCTGCTGCCCTATCCAAGGTTTTATCCATTTAATTCCCAAACGAAACCCATTCCCTCTCTGTGCCGCAGCGCGAGGGAAGCTCATCCTCCCTTTCCCAGCGCGCTTCCGAGCTTTCTGAAGGGGAACCCTGGCTCTACCCGGCCACACGCAGCACTGGGCCCCGCCAGCGCCTCCAGCCCCGGGGCTCTCCACGGGAATAACGAACCGGAGCCGGTGTCGGGAGCACCGATGGAAATCGCGCTCTGAACGGCCGGGTTCAGCCCTGCTCTATCCGTGACCGGCTCCCCCCAAGCCCTCGGTGGGCGATGCCTCCCCTTCTCCCTCGCTAAATTCGAGTCTTACCGGCAGCAAAAGGGACCGGAGCGCTGCGGGCTCGGGCGGACACCGCGGGGTGCGCAGGGCGCTGCACCCCCCCGCTCCCCAGCAACCCCCCTGTGATGACACCGACTGCTAAACCCGGAGGAGGTTGGTTAAGAAGGAAAAGAGAGAAGCAAACACCAGAAAGAAAACCAGGGCTGCTCGGGCATCGCGCTCCGGGGCTCCGCGCCCTCCCTAAGCCCCAGCACCCGCTGCTGGGGCCTGTTTTGAGGGGGGATACACCAGTGAGAGCCCCCCCCGGATGGAAACCCGGCTGCGGGCTCGGTGCAGGCGCGTCCCTCCCGTCGGGCGCTTTTCGGCCCGGGGGCCCCTGCGCTTGGTATTGAAATAAAAGAAAGAAAAGCGCCTCCGAGGCGGGCAGTTAAAAGGTGGCTTCGGGGTTCGGGGCAGGCGATTAATATTCGGTTGAACCGGCACAACAGTATCTCGGCAACTAATTGTGAGATTTATCTGTTTTCACATGCACAGATTTCTATCAGGTTTCTGTCCAAGGGCCATCCCGGCAGGAATTCGAGGATTAATCATCTCCTGTGAGGGATTTTGAGATCTCGGCGCGATTTATGACAAAACTGCTCTTTTTACCGTTTACCATCGCTCCCCACGGAAAGAAGCGCAACGAGAACCGCCTTCCCCCGGCCGCCTGCCCTCGCCTCCCCTCCTGCCTGGAAACCGCTCGGGATTTGTCTGTGATATTCCTGATTTTTTTTCCCTGGGGTGTAATTCACCCCGGGCTCAGCTCTCGCTCCCGCTGTGGCTCCAGGAGTCAGCTCGGAGCAAGCAGATACGGTGAAGGACGACCCTGTACTGTAAATTATTAATAATAAAGCAGAGTAATTCATTTTCCCGGTTCGAGAGGGGGCAGCGGCGTTTGCCGCTACCCCCGGCAGCTCCGGGACAGGGGAACTGGCTGCCCCCGGTTCCGCGGGACACGAACGGCGGTTCCAATCCCGCTGTCACCGCCCGCCGGGTCTGCGGCGGGATCCGGCTGCAGCTTCCCGAATTCCTCATCTTTTCTTTAAGCCGAACTCGCCCATTTCGGGGCATCGCTCAGGCGGGAAAGCCACCGAAATACGGAGCCAACGGAGACCGGAGGCGGCCGGAGCTTAGCCCGAGCCCCGGGCAGCGCTGTGGGATTCGGCTCCATCTGCCCCGGGCGGCCCCCTGCTCTGCCGCCGTTACAAGAACCCTTCGGGATCCTTTTAGGCGAACCCTAGAGAACCGGAGCGGGAGGAGCACACAGGCTCTGCACCCCCCGCTTGCCACTCAGGGCTCGTTTATTAGTTCTTCGAAACTGAAACTAGAGGATCCCCAGACACAAATCTGGCACCGAACAACAACAAATCCTCCCCACGGGAGACGAGAATTTCTAAGGAATGGCGCGTTTTGGAAAAAGGAAGGGAAAAGAAACCGAATAAAACAGCGCAGTAAGGAGGGGAGAAAAACCACCCCAACACCGTAACTTCGGCCGCACTTCCACGTACACCCCGCCGAGCCCGGGGTTTGATAAAGAGCCGGGCGCTGCTCCGGCTCAAGGAGGGGGCAGCGCACCCCCAGCCTTTCTCAGGCACGGCTCGTTAATGGAACGCCTCTCGTGTGTTCTAATTCAAGCTCAAATAACGACGGTCGTTAATGCCCCACTGAAATGTTGCGTGGAAAGAAGCTGCGTTCGTACAATAACGATTTGCGTGGAAAGGGGCTGTCACGCACCGGGAACGCTGTTCCCCCGTGAACCGGAGGGGAAGAGCCGCACCGGAGGGGTATTTTTCCCCGGGTACCGGGACTGGGCACTTACCGGGGCTTCGGCAGGGCCATGGGGACGCTACCCCGAGCCGCGGCGGGCCGGGCCTGGGACAGGGGCTCGCTGCAGCCTCAGGCACAGCAGCGACCTAAAATCTCCCGGTTTCAACTGCATTTTGCCCGGGGCCGGCCCGGCCGGATCCAACTCTCCCCCGTCCCCGCGGCGCTCGGCGTTTCACCCCGCAACCTCTCACCGGGCTGGGCTGCGGGCACCGGGCCCGTCCCCGTTAACCCTGCACCGAGCCCACCCGGGCTGCGGCGGGTTCGTTTCCCCGCCTGTGCTGGAGCCCGAACCACGGAGCGCCCGTTAGCAGCATCCTTCCCATCTACGTGTTCTGGTAGAAACCCGCAAAGAGAAGCGGGACCCGCGCCGGGATCCCCCGCGGGAGCTGCCGCCCCGAGCAGCCGCGGCCCCGGTCGTGTCCCCCCGCTGCGCCGCGGCGGAGCTTTCATCAGCAGGATATTTAACGGAGCCGAGCTGATTGAACCCCGGGGCTTTGTTGGGAAGCAGCGGGGCTGTTCAGCGGGTGCGGGAGAATCGGTGGTAAATCAGGAGAGGCAGCGGGAGGCACCGGGGGGACGGGCGGGGCCCCTTCCCGCAGTCCCGCACCGGTACCGGCAAGGAGCGGCTGCCTCCCCACCGGTCCCCGGGGAAAAACCCCGTTTTGGAGCCGCAGACGGGCAGTCACCGCAGGCCCCGGTTGTTTCCGAGGCCGGGGCCGAGGGAACGGGCAGCACCGACCCCCACGGCCGCGCCACCGCCTCGCCCCCCTTAACCGCGTCCTTCCCCCGATATGGGTCCCGCCGAACGGGAAGGAGCGGCGGCCTCAGTCTCCCGCCCGAGGGATCCCGGCGAGCCGGGGCAGACGGAGGCGCTGGCCCGTCGGGACCCGCCGTTTTCGTTTCAGTCTCGCTGGGGCCAGCAGCGAGCCCTTCCCGTCGGGAGGGGAGCTGCCCGGTGGGACGGCTGATGGAGGGGAAAACCGACGCTGGGGAGCCCGCCCCGGTGGCGCGTCCCGCGGTGCCGCCGCGCTCTTACCTTTCTTGATCACGGACTGATCGAGCAGGTTCATCCCGCCGTCGTCCACGGTCTGAAAGCACCGAAGCAAGAGCCGTCAGCCGGCAGCTCCCGGTGAGGATGGGCACCGGCCGCTCGGGGAGTGGGGCCGGAGCGACGGGACCCGGTCCACCCGCTGCCCCCGGCCAGGAGGGATCGCTCGGGAACGGACGAGCCTCAGTAACTGGGCTCCCTGCCCATCGATTCTCCCTGCCCGGGGGTACGGACGCCTCGGGGCCCGACCTGTCCTGGTCGGGTCCCCTCACATCCCTTTGGCCGCACAGGCGGCGGCGGGATCGGTCCCCACCCGCCTCCCCCGGGGACCCTTCCCGCCCTCCCTCTGTCCCTCGGTACCTGGATGTCCTCGATGCCGTGGTGTCCGAGGCCGTGGAGGCCCAGCGGGCCGTCGGTGAGACCGTGTCCGCCCTCGGGCAGCCCGTGGAGCAGGCGGGGCACGGCGGGGTACTCGCGGCGGGGGTCGAGCCCCAGGGCGCGGTGGGTCCCCGAGAGCAGCCCCGCTTCGTCCTGCCGGCCACGCTGCGGGGGCCAGGCGGGCTGCTGGTGCTGGTGGAGCGGGCTGAGCGCCGCGTACGGGTCCCCGAGGTGCGGGTAGCCGGGCTCCTGGCCCTGCGGGTAGGGCAGCGGCGGCTGCGGGTACGGCGGGGGGAAGTAGGGCGGCTGGAAGTCGGCGGCGGGCGTGTGGCAGAGCGGCGGCGCGGAGCCGTAGGGCGCTTGGTTGAGCGCGGGCAGCTGCGGCAGGCGGGCCCCGGCCGGCGCCCCGGGCAGCCCCTCGGCGCGGTCCTGCGGCGGCGGAGACAGCAGCGGTGAGGCGGACGCGGACCCCCGGCGGCCCCGACCCCCGGCCCGGCGCGGCGCTGCCCACCCGCCCGCTCCCCGGCCCGCACTCACCATGCCCGGGTAGCTGTGCACCAGCATCTGTGCGGGCCCGCGGCGAGCCCCGGGCGGGCCGGGCCCCGGGGGTGCCCCCGTCTCCGCCCCTCTATCCCGCCGGAGCGGCGTCTCCCATCGCCCTCCCGCTCCTCTGCGCCGGCCCCGACTCCATGCGCGCCAGTTATAGCGGCGGGGGCGCGCCTGCCGCGCCGGGAGCGCGCGTCAGAGCGCGGGGACGGGGACGCGCCGCCCGCTCCCGCGGGGCCCGACGGCTCCCAACGGCGGGGGCAGCGAGACGGCGGCGGGAGGCGGGGGGCACCTGCCTGCCCCGGGAGCGCGGCCGGTGCCGCTCCTCGCTCCCTGCGGAAGCCCCCGGTGCCGCGCTCCCCAACCGCCTTCCCCCTGGTGCCACCCCCGGTGCCACCCGCCCCGGGCCGCGCCGCCTGAGAGCCCCGTCAGGGAGCGCCCCGGGCCGCAGCGGGGACCGAGCCCCGAGGGCCGGTTGAGGCCGGGGGCGCGGGCGGGCTGCGGGGCCGCGGCGATGCCCTACGGTTTGACTTTATTAGCCCGAGGAGGGAGCGGGGAGCCCCGCAGGGAACACAGCGGGAGCCCCGGCGGCAGATGCAACCTCCGGCCAACGGCGGCCGGAGCGCGGTCTGGGGCTGCTGCTGCTGCCGGGAGAGCCAGGGGCTCCCCTCGGGGTTCTTCTCGCTCCTCCACGATGGGAAGCAGGGACCCTCAGCCCAGACCTGGGGAGAGAGGGAAGGGTCTGGGTCTCCCGCCCGAGGGGACGGGCGGGAGCGGGGAGATAGAGCCAGGGGAATTTGGGAAGCAACGACGGAGAGCGTGCCTGCCTCCCGCCCTCCTCCATCCCTCCTCTTCTCCATCCCTCTCTCCTCCTCTTCCTCCCTCCCTCCTCCTCTCCATCCCTCCCTCGCCCTCTGCTTAGGCCCTCCCTCCGGGGCAGGGCGAGGCGGGCCCGCAGCACCGGGGCCCCGTCCGCGGCACCGGGCACCGGCGGGGCTCGGGAGGGAGCAGCGGCCGGCCAGCGGCACGGAGTGACCCCCACTGACACCCCCGACCCGCCGCACGCCGGTGCAGGGCACCGAGACCGGGCCCCGGGCAGGGTCATGTCCCGCGGGGCCCCACGGTCTCACCGTGCCACCCGGGTGCCCGTTGCTGAGCAGGAGTTTCCATGGGTGGCAGCGTGTAATTGGTGTGCGAGCACAGAACAACCCCTTTACTGCGCTGCAACGCGCGGCGGGTGAGATCGGCACCAACACGCACCATCCCACATCGCTCTTAATTTAATTCCGCTCTTCCTGCCCCGAGCTACAGCTCCCTTCATTTTCATTTCTCCTCTGAATTCCCACAACGCAGACCTCTTTGATTTCCAGGTTTAATTAACAATGCTCATTAAATGAATTTTTATTCATTTCTTTTAATATTACCCTGCCACCTGTCTTTAGGAGGCAAAGGCTGATCATTTATTCTAATTTATTTCTATTAAAGATAGCATTTAGTTTTAAAGGTGGCACTTCAGTTTTAAATTGAAAGAGGGTGAATTTAGATTAGACATTAGGCAGAAGTTCTTCCCTTTGAGGGTGCTGAGGCGCTGGCACAGGGTGCCCAAGGAAGCTGTGGCTGCCCCATCCCTGGCAGTGCTCAAGGCCAGGTTGGACACAGGGGCTTGGAGCAAGCTGCTCCAGTGGAAGGGGTCCTTGCCCGTAGGAACCAGATCCATTTCATTTGCTGGGAAAAAATTGGATTTGACATGCTGTATTTTGCAGTTATTTTCCCGTTCATTCTTCACGTCCCCTGCTCCTCTGGTCCATATAATGTTGGTCTTTATTTATCTGAAAGAGGTGAAACTGCAAAATCCATGCACCAGCCCGCATGTGGGATTCCGGGGCAAGCAGGAGGATGCTCGCTCTGTACAGCTTCAAGTATTTTCACCCTCTTGGTGATGAGGACAAGTTAATCCTATGGGTCTCCCATGGGCAGGAGGCAGCGTTAAGCCACAGCAGTGAGGATGAACAATTACTTGCTTTAACCTGCTGTCCCAAGGTCCCAGGCAGGGCCAAGGACGGTCACACTGGGTGCTGCACACACACTGGTTCTGTTACTGGTTCATCATGGCCACGGCAAGTGCTGGGTGTCATCACAACACAGGGTGCTCTGTTGCAGTTCCCCACTACCTGCTCTTAGCCTCCCAGGGTAAGGACCAGCTGTGCTTGTGTTCTGCTCTGCCAAAAAGCCTTTGTGTTTGCTAACAATGACATGATCATTTCAAGGTCCTCAACATGAGAGCTGTCCCCTCGCCCCACAGCTATGGGGAGCCCTCTTTGTCACTCTGGGCCAGGTCTCCACCCCAGGGACCACTTGTTGCATTTGCACCCAAGCCAGAAGTCTCTGGAAAACTGGTTTTGTACCGAAGTTCCCAAGGTTCCTTCCCAGTGATCAGTGACCAATGACCGGTGATCAGTGTCTCTGTTGGCTCTTCCTTGAGGCAGCAACCTCGGCTTTCAGGGCTCAGCAGTGAAAATACCTGCTGAAAATACCTGCAGTAGGGACACAGAAGCAAGAGCACGTGAGCACAGGTCTCTGCCCCAGCCAAAGGTGAACTGGTTTTACTCCAGAAGCCCAGCTCCCATCACCACCTGGGAGAAATGTGGGCTGCTCCTATCATTTCCCACATCTCCTTCCTGGGAATCCAGGTGGGGAAGGAAGGTCTTTGGTATGGGGCTGGAGAGCCAGGCAGGGCTTTGGGGAGAAGGATGGGGACCCTGTCAAGGGGAGGGTAGGGAAGGGGGCAGCCCTGACACCTCTCACTGCATGAGGTTTGTGGGAAGGGGCTGCACTAGCAGCCACATAACAGCCCTATGAAATACTTTTATTGCCACTGCTTTTGGGGTGATGTGAATAAACAGTGTAGGATAATGCATGCTGTGGTGGGGATTGCAATGGTGTTAGGACATTTGAGCTGTCAAAGTGAAATGGCATGCGCATCTGCTCCTCTGGGGGCTTATCCACCTCATCCAAGCCACGATGAATGATCTCCTTATTCCTGGAGGGCTTGTCCTGGTGTTGAAAAGGCACTGGGAGATAAAGCACAGTTTCCTCTGGGTGCTGCTGGCTGCAATTCCACTCTGTGCTGGGATCTCAAAGCGGGGCAGATGACAAGGGAGGTTAGGTGGTGCCTTTCTGGCACTGGAGCATCGGTGCCACAGTGGTAAATGCTGCCAGGGGAGAACTTGCAGTTGGGTTTACAAAGCTTGGGGTGGCCAAGGAGTCACCCCACAGCCTTTGAAGCCTTGGCACTGTTTCCCTAGCGCAGGGCTGAGCCATGCTGGGCACGCCAGGGCCTGCAGCCTGGCACAAGCAGAGCCAAAGGAGGCACCCACATGGCAGGGGGCCTCCACCAGGGCCTGTGCTCTCCCTTCCTGAATGTGCTGAGCTCCTGCTGTGAGAGCCAGGGGCCTTGGGGAGGGACAATGGCCTTTTAGGGGTGCTCAGTCCTAGAATGTGCTTGGAAAGTGGTGTCCCAGGACAAGAGGATGGTGATATGAGGGTATCACCACCCTTCACTATGAGGGTGCTGAGGCACTGGCACAGAGAGAAGCTGTGGCTGCCCCATCCCTGGCAGTGTTCAAGGCCAGGTTGGACACAGGGCTTGGAGCAAGCTGCTCCAGTGGAAGGGGTCCCTGCCCATGGCAGGGGTTGGAGCTGGAGAAGCTTTAAGGTCCCTTCGATCCAAACCAATCTGGAATTCTATGATAGTCTTCAAGGAGCCCCCACATCTACACAACAGCATCTCTGGGATGCTTTCACCTGATGGGAATTTCCTTGGAGGAGCATGAGAATGAGGGTCAGGTGCTTCCCAGGCACCTGCTGGGGGCCAAACCCCAGCGCCCTAGGATGTGGGGAAGGATAAAATGGAGAACTTCGCTGGGCTTTGGTTTGCTCCCAGTTAGCCTGCCTGGAATTGAAGACAAGCAGCTAAAGGCCTCTGGGTTTGGGGCTGTTCTGGTCTGGGATAGGGTCCTCAGGACCAGGCTGGATCTCTGGTCAGGTGTTGGGGAAGCTCCTACCATTGCCTGCGGGGATGAAGGATGGCCAAGCCAGCACGGAGAACCACAGTGAGCCCAGTGCAGTGCTGGGAGGGAGGAGAGCAGGGCACCCTCCTGCTGATAAAGGCGCCTCTCATTAGCACTAATGAGAGTCTTTCCTTAACAGGAATTCCACACCCTTTGACCAGAGGCAGAAGAGCACACGGGCCCAGGAAGAATGGAAGGTAAAGCATTTGAGGGTTGGGATGGTTTTTATGGCAATCTGAAATGTTTCTGATTCTTCCAATGCATTGCTGTTTCCCTGGGTGCAGGGCTGGGGTGCTCCTGGCAGGACGGGGACGCTCTCCCAGCCCACACTCAGGCAGCTGTGCTCTTTTCCAAGGCCAGGAGGCTCATTTGTGTGTTTGGCTTACATCGCTGCCTTCTGGGAGCACCCACCTTTGTCCCAGCTTGCAGGAACTTTTCTGAGCTCAGCTGGAAAGATCAGAAAGATCTGCCCTGAGCAGCAGCGGCTGCCTCCGCTCCAGCTATGTTTGCCTTCACAGAGCTAAGGATCTGGTACAAAGCAGCTCAGCTCAGCTCTGCTTTGCTCGATTTCCTCTGTGCCAAACGATTCCGCAGCCCCCCTGCAGTTCTGGGGACAGCCGGGATCAGCGCCTGGGTCTGGGAGCAGATCCAGCTCCGGCGAGGCTGCTGCTCCCAACTTGCTCCTCGACTGACACCTGGTGGAAGAGCTGCAGCCCAGGTTGAAGCCATAGCCTGGCAATAGGGGAAAATCCCTTTACATCCCAACCCTGCAGCCAGGGAGCCCGGGGAAATACAAATCCCTGCGGCTGTGCCATGTGTGGGTGCTTAACAGGGAACACCGGGCCATTTCAAGTGTGCTGTGAAGGGTTTCTAAACATACATTTGGAATTACGATGATGATCTGGTGTCAGTCATGAACAGGGAGTTGTTGTCCCATATGGCGCAAGCACGTTTCTACAGCTTCCCATTGGAAGGGGCCAGGTCTGTGCCAAGTCACAGGGCACTGCCATCAGTAAATATTAAAGCTGTCCCTGTTCCTGCTTTTTGCAGGTTTCTGTGTGTAGTGCCAAGTTGCTTTACACGTTAACACGTGCAAGCCTCTGACTTAAAGTGACACCCTTGCTGCGACAAAACTGGGAGTGTGTTAATGGCAGAAGCAGGCAAGCTCTGAGGGCCCTGGGCAGAAATAAATCCCAACACTGCAGGAGTATGAAAAACAAAGCAACAGAAAAACGTCTTTAATAATACAGGCTGCTTTTGAAAAGAAACAGAGGGTCAAGTGGGGGTATGCTGAAACGTTCTGAGGCAGCAAGAGCTCTGTGCATCGGCTCATCTCTGCCACATCACTCCAGGTTTAGGAAGTCTGGTACTGAATGTGGTTTTATCCCCATCTGGCACCAAAGGGTGTGGGGCAGATGTTGACCAGATCTTGTGCTGACTGCTCCCCACACCAGGGTGCTGCTGGCTCTTCACTGCTCAGACAGACACTGTTCCAAAGCTGCCATACCATAGAGGTTGGCCCACTCCCTGCCGTGGTGTGACAGGATCACGTCCCTGCAGGGCTTGCTGGCTCTGGCCAGCTCCACCAGCACCCCCTGGAAAGCAGTGATGAGCTCAAAGTCCACCGAGGCTGCAGCAACACGGGTCAGGAGCTCGGAGAGCCCTTCCAGCCACTGCACCTGGAGCATGCCTTGTGGCAGCCAGGGGAAAAGTGGGATGCAGCCGGCCAAGGCCTGCATTCCCAGGAACCAGAGCTCACTGATGTCAGCCCAGGCACTCGTGTAGGCAGGCGAAACAGCCAAGGTCAAGCTGTCACTGCCAGGCTCTGCTTGGGCAGTGTGAGCCTGGGATAGGAAGGAAATGGCAGCCCCAAAGAACTCCTTGGTACGCTGTGTCCCCTGGAGAGCTGGAAGAAAAAGGAATTATTTGATACAGAGCGCCCTTCAGTGTTTCTGTCTGCAGCAGGGCTTTTGGGGAGAGCAGGATAACCCCCTCCTGCCTGAGAAATCTCTTAATCCCAGTGCATCAGCCTGCTGTATTTCCTGCCTATTCCTTACTCCACCAGGCTTTTGGTTTTGCCACTTTTCCAACTACAAACTGGACCTGCTTCCCTCATATTTGCCTTCTCCAGCCCAATCAGCCAGAGTGATTTGCCAATGGGAACTCCTCCTACCTGTGGAATCTGCAAGGATCCTGGCCATCATCAGGCCCAGAGTGGCAATGTTTGCTGCTAGAGCCAGGTGATCCTTCTGGGGCAGCAGAAGTGGAAGAGACTTCATCAGCGTGTCCATCAAGGAGCGAAAGGTTTTGTCTTGCCTAGAGAGAAAGCAAAACCTGAGCCGTGCTTCCTGAGCAGAGCCAGAAGCACCTGGAAATGTCAAGGTTAAATGCAGCACCAAAAAAGTAATGTAACTGCTTTTGAAAAAGGGACATCCCTTTTTAGCTTTAACAGATCCTGTAAGCTCACTTCACAACGTCATTGGGAAGAAAGAGGGTGCAATCGGAGCAACCTCTTGTGGCTCCATTACCTGATGAGGTCTGGTGCTGTCACAACCAGGTTAAGGAAGATCCCACACATGGTCTGCAGACTCATTTCAGTGCTTGTCAGTGGAGTCAGGGACCCAGGCTTGGAGGTCAGCACCTCCCACTGATGGAGGAAGTACTCACACAGCAGTGCTGGTGCCCCTTCTGAGATGAGGATGTCCCGGGGCCTGTCCTCTGCTGTTAAATGGCAAAAACCAGGTAGCAGAAGCCTGGAAGGGGAAAAAAATTGGGAGCACGAGGTAGAATGGGTCTAAGCCCTGCATTTAATCCAGCTGTGGGGGGTAAAAAAAGAGCCACGGAACTGGCACTGCAGGGAGAATGGAAAAGAGAAGATTTGAGCAGGCTTGTGCTGAAATGCATCAATTCTGTGATTAAAATACACACCTCAGAGCATCCTGGGGTAAGCCAGAGCCCTCGGTGCTGACCACCTCTGACTGGGGAGGACTCTGAGCTGAGCTGCCCTCTTTGAAAAGCCTTCTAGCATAAAGAACAAGGAAGGGCAAGAGCTCGCAGATTTCCTGCTTGAGGGAGGATGTCTCTTCTGCCATCCAGGCTCCAAGGATTCGAACAGAAGCAAATATGAAAGGATCTTGTAGCTCCTCCTGTTTAACCTGCATGAAGAAGCAAGCAAAAAGAAAATGATGTTCGGGCCACTGTTCTATCGAGCTGCTGTAGGTATGAAAACTGCAGTGGGCCCAGATGCAGTTTGCCTCTACACAGCCATGAGCTGCTGAGCACCCAGTAAGCATCCTGGTTAGCAGCTGTAAAAGCCTCCCCAAGAAACACACAAAAACATGCTCTTTGCTTGCAAACCCTGCATTACCTGCCTCAGGTAGAATATTACAGCTCCAAATGCCTCCTCCATGATCCTCATGAGTTGCATTTTCTGCACCTCCTCGAGCAGTGGTTTCTCTTCTCTCAGGCACTCCTGGATCCCCATCTCAATAAGGACATAGCAGGCTGTTACCACTTCTTTCTTCCCCTCCACCTCCAAGGGATCTGGCTCCTCTAGGGTCAGGCGGACCTCCACACAAGCCAAGTTCACCAACAAGGCCAGGAACTTGCTTCCAGCACTGCCTGCTGGGATCCACTCTGACCCATAGGCCTGCACAAGGCAGGCAGCAAGCTTGAGGGCAGGGTCCCGCTGCGACTGGCTGAGTTTACTGCCCAAGATGTTAGCCAGCCCTTTGTAAAGCCTATGGAGGCACTCAGAGCCCTGTGGGTCCTGTGTGAGCGGTGGTGACAAGGGGATGAAATGAGGCAGAACCTTGCACAGCTCGAATTTGGTCATGTCTTCAGTCTTGAGGAAATCCTCGGAAAGCTTGCTCAGCACGGCCAGGAGGTGTGGAGCATCTCTCTGCCAGCACTTCTCCTCTGCTATGGCCAACAGCCCCAGGAGCAGAGCCAACGCACGGTCAGAGCCATAACTGCAATTCACATATGCCTGGCACAGGGCAGACACTGTCCCTTTGGTCACCAGCTCTCTGGGCCCCCTGCTTGTGGCCATGACGGCACTGAGGCACTGGTATACATCATCAACCATGGGTGCGCTGTCCGGATTGCAGGGGGAAACCAGGATGTCATTGAAGGTTGGGATTTTGTTCAGGATCTGGGAGTGCGCCGCTAACTCGGGATCGGTGCAGAAGCATGCCAGCAGAGTAAGGCCCAGCGCCCGGAAGGTGTGATCGGGGCAGCCCGGTGGGGGCTTCGCAGACGCGAGCAGGCGAGTGGGAAATGTGAATCCAATTGCATCAAAGATCTGGCGACGGGTCTTGGCGTCTACTTCTCCAGCTCTGACCGCTTTGGTCACCTGCAAGGCAAACCAGGGGTGAGCACTGCAAGCGGTTTGCAGAATGTACAGGGTTCAACAGGCAAGTAAGAAGCCTTAAACAGCTTTTATTAGCGCAGAGAAGCACCCGCTGAGCTGGGCGCTTGCTCTAAGCGCTAACGGGAGCTTTCCCAGGGGGGTTTGGGAGCGTGGCAGCACGCATGACCCCTCAGCGCACCCGGACAAGGCCGGGCTCCTTCTGCCTTGCTGATGGGACCGTGAGGGCTCTGAAGCGCCTCGCCCCGAGGCTCCCAACGCCGCTCAGCCCCGACCTCCGCACACGCGGGTTTCGCTTTCCCCCTGCCCTCTCCCGACCCGGTGGCGCCCGCGGCACCGCCCCCCTGCGCCCCGGTTCCTTACCAGGAGCAGCGCTGCGAACTGCTCGCTGTCGTTCCTCGCGTCCCTGAGCACATCCAGGCACCGCCTCAGCGCGGAGCTGCCCGCGGCCTCGGCCATGGCCCGGCGGCCGCCGCACGGACACGGAGCGCACCCGGTAGCACGCCGGGCCCTTTACCGATGCCCCGCCCCGTTCTGCCTTCCAGCCAATCCACGCGCGGCTTCCGCGTCACAGCCCAACCGCTTGCCGCCTTGTTGGGCGGTCCCTGAAGCCACCGCCCCCGCGCGGCCTGTGGGCAAATCCCCTGTGGCTGCGCGGCCTCTTGGCCCGCTGCTGAGGGAGCGCCGGGAGCCCCGGATCTGCAGCTCCGGCACCGACCAACGGGCGCCGGCGGAGGCCGTCCCGGTTCCGGGAAGTGAAGGCTCAGCTTCCGGGTGAGGGGTGAGCGGGTGCCCGCTGCTGGCGCCATGGCCGCGGGGCAGGAGGCCGCGCTGCCCCCCGGCCCGCCGCGCTGGAGGCCCGGCCCGGTGCCGCCGCCCGCCTGAGGCTGCCGAGGAGCCGCTGGGCTCGCCTCGCCATGCGCCCCTGGTACGTACCCGCTGCGCTGCTTCCTCCCGCTCCCGGCCCTGGGGCTCTGACAGCCAGCTCCGGGCTGGGGCCTCCGCTCTCGGCGTGTCCCGCCGGCCGGGCAGGAGCGGGGCAGCCCGGCTGTTCCCGCGGCCTCCTGCACCGGGCCGTGCCCTGTGGGAGCGCGAGGGGACGGCGGAGCGGAGCCGGGAGGGGACGTTCCGGTACCGACCCGTTGGCAGAGCAGCCGCGGGGTTCCATCTCCCATCGCGAAGTTTTCCTCCCGTGTGCGTCCTTCCCGCAGCTCACGCTCGTTGCTGTCGGTTGGGAGTGAAATTCCCTTGGGGTTTAACAAACAGGAGTGTTTGAGCAGCGGGCTGGTGGGTCTGGCTGTCAGTGAGAACATCCCCCATGTTCCCTGTGACTATTCCCTTTCATTCTCTAGAAATGGCAGTTTTAACTGCTTGTGCCTAAAGGTGCTTCACTACTCTTTAAAATCAGACCCTATCGATTACTTGTGAAGTAATTTATGTTTTCATTTCACATCATCCAAAGCTAATTTACATTTCAGTACTATATGAGGCTATAAAAGAGCCTTTGGCATTAGGAAGACTGAGAAGGGTTATCATTGTTTTTGTGATCTCTGCCCTGTGAAGCAAAGCCCGAGGCGAAGCACGTCTTCAGCGCCCTGTTTCTCAGTGTTGCTGTATTCTTATTTCTCTTTGTTTCTGGCTGGTACCAGCCTGCACCAGTGTGCAGGCGGTGACATCTCCGGCAGATGTGCCGGGTTCATCAGAGCCTGTGTTTTATGCTCATGTTGCTCCTGGGTGTCTGTTCCCTGGGGTGTATTTGGAACTGGAATTTCTCACAGGTATCTTTGCAATCCAGCAGACTGCATAGTAGATATATTGGCTGTTTTGCCACTGAAAGTGTGGGGTTTGGAGGAGGAAATCCCAAGGATGAGGGGAAGGGCTCTCGTGGTAGTCTGCTGTGGCTCAGCACTGGGAAGTTTGCTACTCCAAATTTTGCTCCCGTATCAGATGTTGGTAGTTACTGAGCAGCAGCTGGACTAAGTCACAGCAGGTGAGATGTTCCTTTACCTCTGCAAATGCTCTGTGCTCTTTAGAGCGTCGCCAGGATCAGTGCAAGAACATACCAACTACCAGTGGATGTTTTGCGTTTCATCTTATGTGTTTCTAGAACCCCGCTGCTGCCCACAGAGGCCATGGAGAAGAGACTGGAAGCCAAGTTCAGCATTAGCGCCCGATTTCTGTCACAACACTGCCTGGGAAAAGCTGCAAGGGAGCTGAGAAGTCTGCAGCTGTTCTACCTGTGCGCTTGCCTGTGTGCCTTGTGCTCCTCAGCAGGTGAGAGTCTCCTGTTCTCTCTGGGATCCTGCCTGTAGTTTTTGTGATATTGTCCCTCTCACTTGTTTAAAATACTCTGAAAGTGAAATTATTGCAGTTACTAAATGAGCCATCAAAAGGGTGGGAAAGATGTGGGGTGTGGTGGAATTCCTTCTTCTAACCCTAACTTGCTCTGATAAGGACCTGTTACTTTGAGTACCCAGGTGGTCAGCCGCAAGGATCTGTCTGTCCCACAGCTACTGTAGTGGAAAATACCTGGAAAATGATTTCATCTGAGGATTACTCAAAGCAAGTTGGGAAGGCAGGAATGGTTTTTCAGCCCTCAAATGTTTAACACTCCCCAAATGCTGTGTGTCAATAGTCTGTATTTGCCTATGGGCAGTTGTGTTTGCTTTTTTATTTCCTGTTCAACCTTGAGTTACCAACCTCTTGCTCAAGTAAATAACTAAGTGAGTGGCTTGTATGGGGCTTTCATGTAATCGATTGTGTGGGGTTTTGCTTGTTTGTTGTCTGGCTTTCTTTTAAAGTTCAGATCCTGACCTGATTCTTAAGCAGCTAATTTAGAACCTGGGAAGATGTATTTGTATTCCTGGCCTAGCAAAGGGCACTCAGCACTGTGTGTTTGGATGGTGTGTCAGGTGGACTGTGGGTTTCCTTGTAGACTGGACTTCCTGTGTGACATTTCCTGCCTTTAATAATATCGTAGAAGTATAGAACTGTGCATCCAGTGTCACTCCAGGAATGTCTTCTGGAGAGTGCCGCTCTATTTGAGGGCTGGTCTGTGTGGGAGAGTTAAAGCCATGAAGTGTATGGAAAGAAATCTAATTACATGTGACATAATTATCCCAATGTGGGGACATTTTCCATTCTAGAGTTCTTGTCCTTTTGGCCTTGTGTCACTTTAGGAGCAGAGTTTGATAAGCTGAGGAGGAGTTGTGGCTGTAGAGTTGTGTAAAAGGAACTTGTGTTGACATAATTGGTTACATGTGATGGATTTAAAAAGTCTATAGAGTCAAGTCTTTAATCATTAATCTGATATCAGGAGGGATTAAGTGCCTGAGGAAGCCCATGAACCTGAGCATATTAATAGAAACTGTTCTTGTCCGTTCTGTTTCCCTGCTGTGAGCTGCTTTGCTGGCGCAGGAACTCCTGAGGTCCTGAGAAGAGCAGCAGTTTTTCTACTGATATATTAGGGAATAAAAAAAATGACAAAGCCAATGTTAAGAAGTGACTAAGCACACTCACTGTGCAGGCATCCTGTGATGTGAGTTGTGCAAGGCTGGCTTGGCTGCTGGGGCTTAGGAGAGAACTCGTGCTCAGGGCTGTTTGTGCCGACACGTTTCTTGTGCTTTTCTCTGAAGCTGCTGGTGTTGATGCTATCAGTGACCAGGTTTACTGGCCTGACCCAGCCTCTGAGTTCCTGTATCTGCCTGCTGTGTGTGGTTTCAGCACAAGGAACTGGAAGGAATAGACCAGACCACTCTCAGGAGGAGTTAGTAACTCTGCTGCTACTTGGAGCTGCCTCTCTTGTTTGGTGCAGGTCCGTGTCCACCTAGTGCAGGTGCTGCACCAGATTCTGTGGGCATTAGCAGAGTTCTGGAAGTGAAATCTGGCCAAAAATATAATTCAGATCTCTGCATCTTGGTATAGCACTGGGTTAAAAGAGCAGAATGCTCTCAGCATGGTAGTGTTGTGTCATCTGGGCAAAGTCATGGCTCTGGCATGCTTAGGAGAGATGCTTATGAGGATTCAGGGTTTACATTTTAGCTGAATTAATACTTGTGTTATGTGGTGATTTTTCGCAAGGGGTAGTTTTCCCTGGGAACTTTTGGCCTATTCTGTTTGTGCCCCAGTTCTAAGCCTGTTACTTGAGAGCTGCTGCTGAATTTCACTGGGTTCTGTATCAAGTTGATAATTTGAGTAGTGTGTATGAGCCAGGGCTGACATCTTGGCACTGGGCAAGGAGGAGGAGGCGTTTTAGGGATGTAGGAAGCAGTACATTATTCTTTTCACGGGATATGTTAGGGACAGTGCTTAATCTTTAATAGAAAGTTAATTTTTTTAGACTCGACTGAGCTTGAATGGATAAGACCCTTTTGAAATTCCCAGTGATAGTGTTATTCTTTCAATAGCTACTTGTTTCTTTAAGCCTGGAGTGTGTGTGTACATACATACAACTTTTGTGTGTGTGCACTCTCCAATCCCATCTCCTGTCCTAATTTCAGACCCATCAGGTTAGTGCCAGATGCTTGTCCCTGTGTCAGGGTGACTGTCAGTCCAAGCACTCTGGAGTGTAATGAGGCCGGTTGTTGCCCCGGGCAGGTAGGCTGCCTGTCTGCTTGCTCTCCAAGGAAGCGCTGTGTGTTGATGAAGTGTGACAAGGATGGTGATGACTTTAAAGGTGCTGATGTCCAGCTTGCTCTCTGTGGAGCATAGGCAAAGTTTCATTGACACACTCAAGCAGCTGGATGTTGCTTGAGTGAAGAGCTTCCCCATCTTCTGCACAGTTGTGGGTTCAGACACCCGCAGGGAGCTCTGGTCCCCCATCTGTTGGTCACAGATCCCAAGTGCATTCTGTTGCAGCTGATACTAGCTTTCTGGAACCTTGTCTTCAAACTGCCTTTACTCAGCTGGCTTCGCAATAAGCTATAAATGTCACTTTTGTTTCCTGCTTTCTGATGTTTCAAACCCAAACTTTTCCTTGTGGTGGTGGTAGTTCCTTTTTTTGCTTGAAATTCTTGGTGTAGCAAGAGATTCCACACAAAAGGTAGGTGAATATGGCCATTTTCCTTCATTTCAAAAAAGTGGCTAATCCATTCTGGGTGAGAAACACCATTGTGTGTTCTTTAATGACCAGGAGCACAGAAGCTGTTACACCTGTTTTGGTGTTTGGGATAACTGAATTAACAACAAAAAAATAACAACAAAAAGTCTTCTCCACTTGCTTTCTTCAATCATACAATGCTAATCAGGTCACAAAAGGTTATAAAAGTACTGTAACTTTCCATGTCCCTGGAGGTATGGTGCAAGATTAAGGTCAAAGTCATTGCACTTTCATACCACTTTGATTCAGAGGATTGGAGTTCCTTGCCATCTTAGTAGTGTGAGGTTGTGTCCTTGTGGCTGGAGTCCTCAAGTCAAATGGTTCAAGTAGTGCCAGGCAGTGGAGGCCTTGCATGATGTCTTCCAAGAATCATAAAACACACCACAGTGCCATCACCAAATCACTTC